TATTCAATCTAAAGAATTCTCTAAAATAATTTTCATATCATTTAATAACCCACCTTCATTCCTAACTTTCTCCTTAAATCCTGAACATCTTGGTTGGTTAGTTTAGCAATTTCCGTATGCTCAATGTAGAAGTTCTTTTCGAAAGGTGGGTAGTCAATCTACAACAAGACAAAAGAATGCCAAAAAAATGGTGAGGAATGCACCAAAGAAGGAAGTCACCCAAAAATGATTGAAGATATAATGAAAATAAGACCAGTGTTCTCCAGAGATTATTTAGAAGCCAGCCATGAAGAAGGAGTAGTGTGTAGCATGTGAATATTATCCCTAAGTAAAATGCAGGCAGTGCAGCCAAGTGTTCAGGGCACTGAACTTGAAATCTGGTGGTTCCAAGTGCAAGCCCACCACCAAGTTACCCACTGGTTTTGTTCTCAGTTGCCCTGAGTTCAACTTTTTGGTCGCACTTTGTATACAGCCAACTAATTTGCCATCTGCCAGTTGGGATTTTTAAACTCAATGGGTTGGTCAAGTCTACAAGGTCTAAACCAAACCATGGTTTTGTGCAAGCAATAGGCCTTAGGGATTCTCTCTTAAAGGTTGGTTTAATGAAATTTCCTTCCACTGCTAACTTTGGCCTACTTGACATTGTTCACAAAAATAAACACTCATATAAAAGATTCAGCTAAATTTAAGATAGTTTAGAATGCAGTTTTGTTGAACATTGGCTAAACTTTGTTTAAATATTAACCAGTTTTATTTTTTACTTAACAATGTTTATTTACAGTTTGTTTCAGTGACCAAGAAGAGCCACCATGTGGAATGTCTACAGCTAAATCCAATTATTTTTATATTAATCCCCATTATTTAGTATCTACTACCCCTGCAGTTACCTACTATAGGTTTCTTTCCAGTATAATGAAAAAAAGGCAAAGGTTGAAATTTATTTCAGATCAAAACAGGTATTTCTCAGGTTTGTCTTATAAAAGAAGCTGCCCCTTCAGTAACAAGAAGCTATTCAGCATGCGGACCACGCGTGCTTCTGGGCCAGGTTGTTCAAAGCTGGGTTAAGATAACCCAGGATTAGTGTGAAATTTGATTTCAGATGTAAATGCTTTAACCCTTTACACCCTATCATCAGTATGCATATTCTCCATACTGTTCTCTATACATTTCCCAAGGAGCTGACAAGGAGAATTTGTTTACTAAGGGCTTCATTAGTTGGTGATTATTTTCCCTCTTCTTGTGACCTGAATGTGTGAATTGGGGGTGATATTGTAAGGAGAAATTAGATGCTTGTCCCTCTTAGGGTTCATAGGGTTATAAGAGAATCCAGCATAATTTTCTTTTTCCATGATGCTGTGATTGGATGCTCAAAAGAGAATAGAGAAAATCATCCCAAACAGGCCTTAAACTCTTTACACCCTAACATCAATATGCACATTCTCTGCACTGGTCTCTTTACATTATTTTCCAAATGTGCTTGCAAGGAGAATTTGTTTAGCAATCAAGAGGTTCTTCAGTTAATTATCATTTCCTTTATTCTCATGACCTTGATGTTTGATTCATGGGTGATATTGAAAGGAGAAATTAGATGCTGGTCACTCTCAAGTATTAAAGGGTTAACAAAGCAATCAAAGAGGACCAGATTACAATTTAACCTTACATTTTGGGTTAGTGCTAATCAGCCTTCAAATGACTGGGCCTTGGAGAACAATGGTAAAAAAAATAAAAGGAAAAATAAATTAATAAATAAATGGTAAATAAATACCTCAAAGTGGTCCACAGCTGGAAGTGGTACAATAATCTGCAAAACATGACAAAACAAAAAGAAAAAGCAAATAAATTGATGTCACAATGGGGATCAGTAAGTCTCTTTAACAGACAAACCACTGATAAATCAGAATTACCTTGGACTTCTCCGGAGCAATAGGATTTCCATCACTATCATACTCTATTTCTTCCTCATCATCAGGATACGCAATAACAGGAGCGTTCTTGATGTAATTGAAATATGACTCCTGATCATCTTCCTCCTCAATGTCATCTCTTCTGATCCTGGTTACATCAAAAGTTTTCACAATTAATTATTATTGCTTGTATCACGACAACAACGCAAGCTAAAATTGCCATATACTGAATAAAATTTATAAGCTGTGTTTAGGGGCCATGCAGCAACCTGTAAAGTTCTAATTGATCAGAGCTCTCTTCAAAAGACAAATGGTATAGGCAGCTGTACAGTAATATCATGAAATAGAGCACCATGTCCACTTTTCCCTTTGGTTTCCAGCAATTAAAAAATTACTTCTGGAGACCATTTAGGATTTTAGCAGGGATTTCAAAACAAGCTGGAGACTACTTCAGGTCCACTGGCTACTTGGTGACATGTTGCCAGTTGCTTGGGTCAAAAAAATTACCTTTTGGCCCTTAACCCTTTAACTCCCAGGTCAAATTTTTAACTCCCCTAACTGTCAACCATACAGTTCTTATAGTGTTAGTTAGGAGAATTTAATATTGGATCAACTAACCATCCCAAATTGATATTTTTCTTTATTCTCATCATGTATGTGGTTGATATTGTATGATTTTGTAAGGAGAAATTCTGCCTTGGTCACCGGTAGGACTTAATGAACTTTTCACAGTCACTTACTTTTTCCAAGTCTGATGCCTACTCCAAAACATTTTGAAATCCTTGTTTTAGGTCACAAAATGGTGACTTTTACAAAAAACTTGTACCTGAAACTACTTTTATCAACTGCAAGAATACAAGAAGTTATATTTCACAGAAATGTCTCAATTGACTCCTAACCAGCTATAACAGGCCATGCTGCAGCTGTGCCTTGCTTGACAAATGCTTTACTATCACAAAAACTTCAACATTTCTGTCTTGCTTGTTACAAATTGTGTTTGAGTAGGAAAGAATGTCTGTGTGATCCTAGCCTGAACCTTGTGGTAAGAACAAACCAGAATGAAACTAAAACATACTTTTTCTTGTCTTTGTCGCTTTTTTCCTTTGCAGACAAGTTTGCTTCCTTCTGCACTTCATTCTGACCGGATATCAAACACAAAGAATGTTAATCTCTCTACTAGAATGTTAATTCTCCCTACTCTTCTCTATAAATTTCTTAACCCTTTAACTCCCAAGATTTCGTAAGTAATTCTCCTTACTGTCTGCCATACAATTTACGTGAAGTCAGTTTTGAGAATTTATAATTGGATCAACCAATAATCCCCTAATTAATATTTTTCTTTATTCTTGTTACTTGTCTGCTTGATATCATACTGACAATGCAAGGAGAGATTCTGTCTAAGTCTAGGTCTGTCTGGTGGGACTTAAATGGATAAGGTCCTGACAAGGAAAATTTGGCTTCTTTGGCTGACCACCATTTCCTCTAATCTTCAAGTGTTGTTGCAGGGTTTTATTAAAGGTAGAAATTAGATCCTGGTCACTTTTAACCCTTTAACTCCTAAGATCTGATCATCAATTCTCCCATCTAGCTGTTAAACATTTCTTTGTAACTTGGTTATAAGAATAATACAACAATGATAACAACCTCTAACTGATAAGTTTGAGTAATCTCATTAACTGTTTGTGGGATGGTGTATGGATATTATAGGCAGAAGTTACATGTAAATCACTTCTGGGAGTTAAAAGGTTAAGGGTCACTGTGTACACAAGAATATGGCAATGACATGATTGGGTACTTAGAACTAGAGTAGTTTTTCACTAACTAAATATTTCCATGTGAAGCATGATACAACTTCAATAAACCACCTAGAGTTCGTAGTGTTTTGAAGGTAGCTGTGCTAACTAAACAAGATATCTTACCTGTATTCCTGCCATGAATTTGTCCAACTCATCCTCCTCATCATCATCATCATCCAATTTGCGACTGGATGGTATGTCTTCACTTTCATCATCATCATCAACAAATTTTGTCTCATCATCCTCATTATCACTATCGACAAAGATTCTAAAAGTAAAATAATAAGTATAAATCTACTAGCATCTATCAAAAATGCTAAAGTCCAATTGGCTATGTGACTTCTTATCTATTCCATAATAGTGGGTACATTGAGTAGGATGACAGAGTGCAGTTGTTATTAAACTAAGCTGAAAACATGAACATGTCTCAATGTTAAATTTTAAACAAGAAGATTTGAACTGAAACAATTTGATTACTCACTCTTATTTTCTATGCCTGAAAGCTAATGGGGTAAATACTATCACCTGATAGAAACTTCATGAACATGAAATGTTAAATAGTTTTGTTTAATTAATTGGGAAGTTTTCCAGCAGGGATAATCTTGTTGGTTTGCATTGATCAGTTCACAAGGACAGCAAAATATTGTAAGGAAACAAATACTCCCTTCAATCAAGGATGGCCATTTTGTCATTTGGGCAAAAAAAAAAACAATTAAAAAAAAATCACCATTGACATTGATAAACAAAGATGTGCTGTTCTGCTGAATGATAACTATAATCCTAATCAGAATTGTTAAAAAATTGCATTGTTCCCCCTTGTCAATGTTGGTAACAAGAAATTTTAAAAAATTGAGAGAGGAATAGAGTCTCTCACCATAAAAGAGTTATTAAACATTATCAACTGAGTTGATATTGTAAATTGGCCATTGTAGAGAGTTTTAAAGCTGACATTACAAGCATTAGTCCTTCATCAGAGCGATTGACAAAAGGCTAATGCTTGAAACGTTGGCTTTTAAACACTTTACGGTGGCCAATTTACATTATCATATCACTTGATCACTCTCCCACCCATGCAGCACCACAGTTTCTTTAAAAACTAACCCCCTCTGATATGTTTTACAAAAACTTGACTAATGTGGTACATATAAAAGAGGAATTTGGTGAGCTGGCCAGCATGGAATGTTAGAGTACTTAGACAAAGAAAAATTGGATTTCACCAAAAAGATATTGAGCTACCGAAAGCTCGAATATTTTATTACCAAGCTATAGCTATGACTCGAAGTAACTAAAGCGGTAACCTTCCTCTAGTGTACATAGAACTTAAGACGAAGCGAAATTTCACTGTTGACTTAATTTTGATGACGATCTTATTCTAATACATTCTTTTATCAAAATAATGTAAAAAATAGTTGATCATTAAGCATTAAGACTCACGGTTTCCTGGCTCCTGGCAAAGGAAACGATGAAGTATCGTGGAATCCCTGGCCATGGGATGAATGATTTTTCTTTGCACTTCCACCTGATCTACTGACGGGCATGCCGCTCCCTATATTAGCTGGGAGGGGATCTTCTTTCTTTGCTGCTAGAGAAAATCCTCCAAAACCAAAACCTCTTTGTTTTCCAGGTCCTCCCTTGTGAAACATCTTGATTCAAAGAAGTGTTAGCTATGAATTTTCTTGATCGAAGCAAACGATAGTAGAAAACTGAAAAAATTTCCGTGTATAAAATCTTCGCTTAGTTCATGTTCAATAGTGAAAATTCCTTTAATCCAAAGCCCACAAAATTGTCTACAGATCTCTGGATGAATAGGAAACTTATGTGTTTATTTTTACGCTAGCAATTAGACAGGGAGTCCTCCATTACCAGTTGTTGCGCAGATGAATTCAGAACTAGTAAATCTGGCGCACGAATCGCAAAAGATACCGCTGATAAAGACATGTTGATCAAAAGAAAATTGGACTGCAATGTGTTTGACCGATGATTTTACTACGAAAGAAACCCAATGACGGAGCTTGAATCCTGCTCCTGAACTATCCCGTGATTACGATCGGAAATGGCTTTTATTTCTCTTTCAGTTTTATTTGTTTACCACTGAATGAGTAGACATAAACAGACATAAGTCTTAACGTGTAATTTAGTGTTAACAACTGAATAAAAAACGTAAATTAGCCACCGTAAGACATAAGTCTTAGTCCGAGTAAAATTGCGTTTCCAAGGGTCAAACCTACAAATTCACAACAGCCATATCAGAATAAGGGTTCGCGTGAGGAGGAACCAATCAGAACTTGACGAGTAAGCACATGTGCTGTAACCATGTGGTGATCGGTTTCAGTTTCGCCTATGATGCTTTGCGAACACAAAGGTCAATATTCTGTGCATGAGCAAACATTGTAATGGATAGGAGGCTTGTTATCATACTATTACAACCAAGTTGTCCCACAGGAGATAAATAAACAACCACATGACCCAGGAAATCACGGTGCTTCAAAGACAACTTATTTTCTCTAGATCTCAAACGAAATGGCGAGTCTACAGGATACATTTAGTTTATAGTTTAAGCGTTATTTTCGAAAAGTCTTGCAATTTCTTTTTCCCTACTTCGAAATTTTGCACGAGAAATTTGCTTGCGACTAGCAAAGTTTTACTACTTGCGCATGCCCGACGTTAAAGCGCTATGTCTGAGTCGTAGTTAAGAGGGTGGTCCAAATTTGTGAGGGAAATGTTAAGGCGAAGTGAAGCAAAACCTGTGTAGCCCTAGATTCCTCTCAACAATTAATTGAACATTGCTCTAATCTATCAACCTATTAAAGAGCGAAGTAAACCAGATAAGTGGAGTTTCGAATAATTTTCAACTTTCAACATCGTAGAATACTAGCGTAGCCTTTTCCTATTCCCAGGTTTACAGATAGCCCCAGTTGGTTGCTCCACGATCCAATTTGACGGCACCAAGATCGAAAACAAAAATTAGATTATTACCGGACAAAAAGATAAATACATGAGTCAGGAAAAGGAATCCCTTGCAGTCCACATGCATGGCTCAGATAATATAGTTTGGTTAACATCCTATAGACAGTACATTCAACATGTTAATTAAGTAAATGGATTGATTTGTATAACGATAATAACGCGTGGTCAGTCAACTAAAGATACTTAGTTCACCGAGAGTCCAATCTTTCCTAATTGCATCTTGCTTTACATTGAAAGTTAAGAGTAGGTGAAATTGTTTGTCAAACTTGTATGCAGATCTTTAATCATTTCCTTCCTCTTTTAAAATAGCAATGGAGGAAGGAAATTGCAATGTTACATCCGATGGAATTAGGCAGCCTTTCCTGCGCTCATTTATCCCCTTTCTTTTTTGAAGAAATTAAAGGATGTTTGACATCCTCTGCAACATGGGCTTTACTGCCGAATGCTCCGGGAAGGAAGTTTTAGATATTTTAACCCTGAGTGCTTTTATCAAAAAGTTTAACGTAAGTGAGATATATATACTTCGCGGTTTCTGATTGCTCAAAATCCGTTGTTTATTGTATCCGCAAATTCAT